GAGCAAAGTGTATTCACAAAGTAAGACTTTTCAAGCCTCGTTCAAAACAAATTTGGAAACTCATGTGGTATGAAGATTTGCATTTACTCTTTCTAAAAAAAGCTCAAGCCACCAGGAGCTAAGTCATTTTTTGACACGACCGAAATCTAACTACTCTAGTTCACTGCCGAATATTACTTTAGGCTGAAAGAAGATGTGTTATCTTTGAGACAATCATACCAAGTCTGTCTCGGTAGGCTTCTTCTGCATTGTCCAGAACGGTTCACCGTTGATGAACAACTTTCCGTCATTGCACTTGTTACCAGTAACTATTTTGTTTCCACTAGGTAACTCTCCTCCACTGTACTTCATCGCCGACGTCGCAACACTCTGAACAGCTACTGCGAAATTCTACGATTAATCGAGATATATAGTTGTTACCTTCATAGACATGTCAACTTTATCCTGAAAAAGACCATTTCAACTTATGGAGCCCTTCGGTGAAGTTGCGACACTTACCTTATTTCTAATCTCCTTAGACTTTGCTTCTTGAGATCTCCGCAAAGGCTTCGGAAATAAGTCATCCCCCTGTTTTACTTCTCGTAGCTGAAATAAGTTAGACTTTCAGAGTGTTTTGGAAAAGATTTATAAGTATTTCGCATATCAACTTTGAGCTAAAAACGCAAGATGGCCTGTCGGCATCAATGCCCTCAGCCGAGTTTTTTACCACCGACAGCTGGGTCGCAGTGTCAACAATAAGAAAGCTAATGCAACTTCTAGAAAGTTTTATGGTTACGATATGACAGGACGTACTCGAATTTGTCCGGTCTGCTCTGCTTGCATCTTGGCTTCCACCTTATTGACAAAACGCCGCAAAGTGGCTTCCTTAATCGGTCTGCTCACAAATGTTTTTACTTTTCGCACAGCACGTTCACTCATGCTTCGAATGCGACCTGGAATACATGAGATTGTTACAAATATGTTACTACTCCAATGCGTTCTTTTCATGCAGCTACTGGAACTTGAAACCATCTCTAGTCTATCAAAATTCGTCCAATACAGTACCTCTAAAAGAAAGGACATAAATTTTGCAGCTCATTGTATATCAAGTGAAGGAGGCTCACGCAGCAATCCCAAGAATAAGAAACAGAAGGAGAATATTCGTTGGGAACTTTCTCCCTTCTCCTTTTCCGACACGTCACTATTTCATCACCTCATCACCACCGCA